AAAAAGAGAAAAACTCATTTAGTTCAAATATAAATTTCAACATATTATTATAATTATTAGAGAAATATAAACAAAATTAGCTTCAACACTACTAAGCAGGTTATAATTTTAGTTGTCAAAATGAAAACTTGAACGGCAACATGTATTATTATGTTTTCCAATGCAAACCTCCAAGGTAGTGGTTTTATATTGTATCATATGAATAATAATTAAAATTTTTTTTTCAAATAAAACTTCTTAATATATAAGAACTGTCTGAATTTTTTTTTTCAATTATCTTTTATATACCATAAGGAAGCATTATATAAAATCACATGAAAAAAAAAAAGTCAAAATGAAATGGAGTGGTACAACAAGATTTTGCATTTAATTAGTACATGGGTTATTAAATACTACATGTAAAATTGTAGGAATATAACCACAAGTGTAGCTAGATATTCATAGCTATATTTTATATATATACTTAACTTGTTTGTCTGTAAGTATATACTTCGGGAGCACTAATTTTTTGTCATATACTTAGTGTTTTTGTCCGTAGTTATATGGTAAATTTGCTGTGGAGAGCTTTGATTACCGGACATGCTCTAGTGCATTAATTAATTCTTTTATATAAAACAAAGAGTTAACTCAAAACGGTCGGGCTTCTGGTAGTAGTTTCCTCCAGTAGATAATTAGATATTATTTGTTCAAATAGAATGAAATATAATAAAGAGTTAATTAAGATTAAAAGTATAAAGTCAGCAAAAGGACGAGAAATGTTGCATAGCTAGAAAAAAGAAAAGGAATGAAATTTGCAACTTTTTCTTTCTTCTCCTGCATTTTTTTTTTTTTTAAGTTTTGCGTAGCACAATAAAAGCAATCTTTTTCTATTCTTTTCTCAATTTCAGTACTTCATTCTAACATAATATATTTGACTCTATTGAAGGAGATATTAATTACCGCTTAGCTGCACTTAGTCCAGTGACTTTAGATCACCCGTAAAGTGCATTTCCTCCTCTGAGTATGGTTTGATTTTGACTTCTTGTAAATTTGTTTTAAAAAAAAAAAATTACCGCTTAGCTAGTTGGCAGTGAAATTTATAGCTCTGGAGATTATTCTTTCATTGGTTTTGTTGTTTGTTGGTTTGCAAGCATAATTATTACTTACGTACCAATAATTCTCATCCGGCTTATAGCAAATCACAACGTGCTGCCTTTTAATTAGCTATTGTATGTGTAATCAACTTCAAGAAATATACCACCATATTATAATAAAGTACATCATTAAGAGCTTGCTAGGAACTCGACAAGGTTAGGAAAGGTTCAATGATTAAGAGTCTCAGCATTTATATTACACATTTTGAATTTAATTTTAAGATGTGTTTCTCTAGATACGTGGGTGAGAATGAATTTTAAAAAAAGTTGTGATTTATACAAATGATAAAAATTTAGAGTTAAAATTTGAAATTAATAATAAAACATAAGTAATATTATTAAATGAGTTAATATACATAATATTATTGGTCTCAATAAGGTGAAAAGAATCAATTATTAAATATGATAAAGTTTATTTTTTAATATTTTAAATGACATAATTTATTTCCTATCATTAGTTTTAAATTTTAAGCTCATAAAATTCATCCTGTTTATCATTATTCTTTAAAAAGGTGAATTATTCTCTTTTCCCTCTACATAAAATACTATAGATGTGTTTGGTTTGTCTATTTTACCGATCTATAACTAGTAAGAGTGATAAAAAACATTAACTCATAGGTTGGTTTTTAATTGTTAACTATAAAATATCATTTATTTTATCAATTATAAGTTATATAACAGTTGTAGTATCTAACTACTCTTAATAGTCAAACCAAATATACTTATAATGTTTTTTTTTTTATAGCCAGAACAATTAATTGTGTGGTTATAATCATAGGCTAAAAGCTAAAACCAACAGCTAGCAAAATGAAAAACAATCATTTGAATGAGTGAACATTAATAAGGCACATATTAAAAATGTAATAATTGTGTTTTTTTTATTAATTTGTATAAAAAATACAAAAGTTAATTTCATTTTTAACATCAATAATAAGTGCAATATTTTTTAATTAGATGATTAATAAAATTAAAAATAATTTTTATTTTTTCAATAATAATTAATAAATAAATATTCAATTACCGTACTTTTAAGGCACATATTTAAAAAAATACTAATAATTTTATCCACTTGCCATAAAAAAGGAACACAAGATTTAGTCAAACAAGATTAAACTAAAAAACCCTTCATAATATACATTATTTTATCCTCTCAAGGGAGCAAGATGTTTTCCTTTCCAAGACAATAATGCCAAAGGAATCTAATAAGGCTGGATGACTATAATGTCACTTTTTAGGTCATGTTGAAGGTTTAAATTTTGGGGTAGAAATGAAAGAAATTTGTTTTTTTAATCTATTGTTTCAATTGAGATGTATTTAATTTTAAGATTAATTATATAAGAAAAAATTAATTTTGAGATATATATATATATATATATGTATGTATATATATATATAACTGACTTACAAATACCTTGCCAACTAAATGTAAAAAAGAATGCCTAAGAATTTAATAACTTCCTCAACCCTCTCCGTGCATTGGGATTACATATTAAATGATCCAACTTTAATATCCCATATATAATAATATGTAATTAAATTACTATTATAACGAGAAAAAGGTAGCTTTGGATAATAATTAATTAAGATATATAATTATTTAATTAATATGATAATTTATCTTAGACTCAATCTATGTATTTGATTAATTTATATAAGTTGTTAAAGTTACTTAAATGGGAAAAGGGAAAGGAGAGGAGGGGCATCTGCTAATATATCGTTCCTTTATTCATACTCCTCTACTTTGGGCAACTTTATCTTAACCAAAGTCACGACTCAGGGGTACACCTAGAGGTTAGATGGAAGATTGAGAGATATGAGGATGAGAGCAAGCACTTTATACTAAAGACAAAAAAATTAGGTGAGTTCATCGATGAAGCCTTAGGTTAGCAGTAAAATGATAGATTGAGAATTTTGCTCAAAGGTTTGTAGTTAGGAGAACAAGGTAACATAGAAAACTTAGTCGTGTAATAGATGATGTTAACCCTAGGGAAAGTAAGATTACTACAAGTGTGAAAGAATTTAATTTGATTTCAATCGGTGGAAGACAAGATGGAAATTCTAAGCAAAGATGATAATGATCATCATCTTATCTGTTTTAATCACTTCATCCCAATTTATTTTTGAAAAGGACTTGCAAAAGAACAATAATCTGTCAAATTTTGGTAAAACAAGTAATCATGCATTCAAAGAAAAGCTTTATATGTTCAAATTCCTCCGTTGTGTTTGGTGTGTAAATGAATTTCATGAAAAAATATGGAATTTGTTTCTAATTTAATGTTTTCATGTTTTGTATACTATTCATTTTAATTTCATGATTTTAATTGTATATTATTGTGTTTAGTTTGATTAAAATTTTATATAGAATTCATTTACAACACTACACGCCCATTGGTTTGGTTTAATTAAAAAATATAAAATTCAATTTTAAACTTCTAAAACGTAAAATTAGTTTAGATTAATTCAAATCTCATCAATTTTAATGGGATTTGAAGATGAATTTCACACTTTTTAATAACTCAAGCATTTAAATTACAAATATTAAGCATAGTCTTTAAAATTTTGATTATTAAACTCATTATTTTTTTTCAAATATAAAATCTTTTTGAAATTTAATTAATTTCTATAATTTTACAAATTATTTCAAACATAAAAATTTACTTATATAAATGAATTCCCAAATAAATTCTCTAGTGACTTTATTATTATTTTTTTTCAATGAAATGAATTTTATTTTCCTTTAAACCAAACGCACTGCTTAAACATTTATATGATAATTTATTTTTTAATGAATTTATTTCAAATTCAATTAGAAATAAAATGAATTCTAATTTATTTGTATACCAAACACACCCTAAATTTTTATTTCAGCATCTTTTTAGTTTGATTTTACCAATACCCCATGGTGTACGTTCAATAATTGATATTTATATTGTTTATCATTCAAATAATATCAATAATTGAGACCCTCCATTTACCTTGTATTGATGACATGACAGTAAAATTTTCAACTTTCAAAATTCTGATCTATGCTATAATATTTCTTCAAGTCACACACATATAAATATCTACATACATATATAGAAATCTTACTCAAGTTGGTTTTTTTTTTATTATTATTATTATTTTAAATTATACAATAAAAAATAACTCTTGTATATTCTTTATCTCATCCATATGTCATGCATTTTAAATTCAAATTTTCTCTCATTTCTTAATCTATTTCATCTATATGACGTATAATTTAAACTTAAAACCTTTTATTTTTATTAGAAAAAAATTACCAATAAACCATTTAAGTTATTTGCATTTTACATAAATTATTAACTATTTAAATAACAATATAATACTAACAGATTTGGGGAAAGCCTATTGAATAATTGACTAATGGCACTTCTGTCACTCATATGGTTACAGATCAATCCATGTCTCATAAAAATTTCTCACATTCTACTCCTCTCTCCCATAAAAATTTCAATTAATTAGCATGTCTCATAAAAAACTACTAATAATTTATAAAATTAACCGCTGATTATGGACACAAGTGTATTCAGACTAAATAAAATTATAAATAATTACTACCTCCTTCCAAATTATTGGAGAACCATATCTTCTCTCTCTTTCCCAGTTCTTTGACCGTATGCCATTAATTTTTTTTTTTTTATATATTAGAAAACAAGCAAAATATCTTTGTGTATAGTGAAGAAGGAAAAGAATATCTGCAAATACGTACGGTACACGAATACAATTTAATGGAGACAGCAATGCATGCATCCTGCAGGATAGTATTGTCCGTCACCTAGCAACTAAAGGAAAGTTTGTAGCAACAATCATTAATCAATATTTGTCCAAGTCCAACATTATTTTTTAACTTAATTCGTTCATGATGAGTTATGCAACAAGTCATTCTTTTTTAAAATTTAAAATTTTTGATTTGTCATTAAATCGTATATTATACACTAACTGTCTATAACAAAATACGACAAAAACTGAATACATAGTATATATATAGTATTTTGTTTGTGCATGGAAAAGGGTCCCCTATTACACTTCTAGCTAAATTCATCATTGCAAATTGCAAAGGATATCAAAAAAACAAGATAAAATTTAAGATAAGATTTTGTAGAGGGAAAGATGTGCTTGTGTTTTTGTTTTGTCTTGGTTAGAAAAATAGAAACCCAAGTTGGAAAAATATCCAACAATAAACTATGTCCATCCAATCATCTCCTCTAGGTATGCATCCATTTTCATGAACCCCACCTTGTCCAATCATCATATAAACCACCAAACACATCAAACATTTGCTCTTTTCTCTATCTCTCTCTCTATTATAGTTCTTTTTCTCTGTTACTGAGAATTGTTGGGTATTAGTCAGAGAAAATTGAGCTCTGTCTGGATGAAGATGGGCAGGAAATGCTCACATTGTGGGAACATGGGTCATAATTCGAGGACCTGCACAGCTTACAGAGGCACTGCTGTTAGAGGCCTTAGGCTCTTTGGAGTTCAGCTTGACATTTCTTCATCTTCCATCTCCATGAAGAAGAGTTTCAGCATGGATTGCTTGTCTTCTGTCTCTCCCTCCTCATCTTCCTCTCCTTCTTCTTCCCTTTCTTCCTCACGACTAGCCCTTGATGACAACTCAGACAAATCCTCCATTAATGGATATCTCTCCGATGGTCTCATGGGTCAAGCTCAAGAGAGGAAAAAAGGTCAGTTTCAGTTTTCTTCTCTTGCTTGGCAAAGAAGTTTGTTATTATGCAGGTTTGAACTTCTGATTTTACTCCAGAATTCAGGTTTTAAAGCTAGTAAGCACCAACAAGGCTAAGCTAAACTGGGTTTATGACAATCTGATGAAAAAAATTGATTGAGGATCATTCTGTGGTTGATATATAGACATATTTTTGTGTTCAGGAGTTCCTTGGACAGAAGAGGAGCACAGAACATTTCTGCTTGGACTAGAGAAGCTTGGAAAGGGAGACTGGAGAGGAATTTCCAGAAACTTTGTGACTACAAGAACTCCAACCCAAGTAGCCAGTCATGCTCAGAAGTATTTTCTAAGACAGGCAAGTCTTAACAAGAAGAAGCGGCGTTCAAGCCTCTTTGACATGGTATGATTTCTCTCTTTATTTATTCTTTTCTACCAATGTTCCAAAAATCCTGGATCTGATTTCACTTCTTGTTTCTGAACATAACAGGTCAAAAGCAGCAGTAGCATGAGCATCAGCTCCATGTCTGGTGATCAAATTCCTTCTCCGTATCTGAAATCATCAGCAAGTTTTCTGAAAGGAATCCATCCTGTTTCTGGGCATCAGGAGATGCCGGTTTTGCTGCAAGGATTCATTGATGCTCATACCAAAACAACATCAAATTCAGCAGAAACCATCTCACCCAATGTAGCACCTGATCTGGAGCTGAAACTCGCTGTTTCAAAGCCTTTGGAAGACACCAAGTCATCCGCTGGAACTCTCCTCGCCAGACCCATCAGTGTCACCTGAAGTAAAGAAAACCCAATGGAACCTCGTTATTGCCATCTTAAGCTGATGATAAAAATATGAATGAACAAATTTATGATGTTGGGTGCTTTCTTTAGCTCATCCTAATTAAGATTACTCTCGGTTTCGCCCTATATCTGAAAGACCTCTACTCCAGAAGCTACTGTCTTCCTAAAAGTGCTCTCGGCTTTTCTCGAAGTTGATTTTAGCTTATTGAGGGCTTTAAACTGGAGCTACAAATTTGTAACTTTTGAAATGGAACTTTGCTGCTAAAGTTATGATAAAACTATTTTATCATATAGTTTGGTATGATTTCATAATTCAACACTTCTATTAGTGCTTTTCACAAAATATATTTCTAAAAAATGTCTAGCTAAGCCAAATGTGGTCTTAAAGCAATTTTCTTCATGATACAACATTATAGACTTAACCAATCTTCTTTATTTCATTCTGAGATGGGCCTAAAAGGAGATGAATGATGGATTGAGTGAATTTGCAGCAAATTCTCAATTCATTGCAGTGCTAGCTGTAATAAGGACAGCTGTGGAAAAGAAGCAAAGTGATTGAAGATAAAGGCACTTTGAGCTCTAACTTCCTATTTTAGATAACAAAAGGAGATTGGAGAAGATTAGGATCTAGCTATATCCACCAATCCATTATAGGAATGAATAAATATTAAATACCAAAGAAGGAATGAAGCAGATCTATGTCCCTCTTTTGTGGAAGGTGCAAAAGCAACAATCTTGATTTAGTGAAATTAATTAAGTTCGATGATTGTACATGATCATTCTTTATAAGAACTCTATTAAAACATCACTCAACTAGACCAAACGAACTCTATTAAAAATTATAGAAGGTGATGAAGATTGAGGGGACATGCACTTTTACTTGAAAGGCACATTCATGGTTCATGATAATTGATGTAGCTGAATAAATACACAAGAAAAGACAAAGCATTTGTTGTCCTCCTACCGGTACAGGGACCATGCTAATTCTTTCTCCATTGATTGCAAAAAAGAACATAAATCCAATCTGCCTAAATTGGGCCCCCTTTTCTGGTTCCTAATAATTGCAGCTAATCAGTAATCATTCAAGAAAAACTGGTTCTCAGAAAATCAGAAACAGAAGAAGATTGAGGGTTTGTTTGGTTTAGTTGTTGAAACTCATAGGTGCTAACATTCGTAACTGTCAGCCCAAACAAAACAGATTATGATCAAATATAGAGTTGCCCAGTGTTCTAAAAGTTATATCAATTCAGGGCTGTAAATGACCAAATCCCATTTAAAGACTCAACGTGTGTGCCTGATTTATTAATGATATTTTTTTGGTCATTTTAAACTCAAGATTAACATTGTTTTTGTACGGTTTAGATTGAAAGTAACATTTGTATTCAGTTCTATTAATCCAAACTTGATTATCAATCAATAAGGCAAAATTTCAGACTTATTTCCAAAATTTTTCTGTTTCTGTCAGTGTAAGAACCTTGGACAGCTGCTGCTGTTCACTATTGCCTAGGTAAACTTTATGACACAGTAATGCAAAAGCTATATACTCCAAGAAGTAAGAAGGGTACAAAATAAATTGTGTGACTGCAAAACTTGCACATCCGTGATCAATTGCCTCTTCTTTTCAGGATAAGGAAAAGAAAAGAAAATGAAGCTTGTCCACAAGCTATGAACAACAAAAAATAAACATTATCAACTCTCCAACAAAGTGGGATTCAATTTCTGTAATTATTTATTTTATTATTATTATTATTATTATTATTATTATTATTTTTGGCTGCTCAAAGGGGAACCTTTAAGTGGAGGGCTGGGGGGCCCTTTGAATTTGGGTATCTCATTGAATACGGTATCAGAAAGCATATACGGTTTAATAATGTACAAATACAGAGAACAAGACTACAGGGGGTAGTGGGATTCTATTTTTATAGCTGGGTTCTTAGTTTCTTCCTTTTTCCATTGGGAGTTAGGACACATGTTTTTTGTCTGTTTAAATTAAAACGATATGTCACATTTATGATGAGTTTTAAGACAGTGACCTATCAACAAACAAACGTGTCATATTTACTGCCTGTAAACATCGGTGAGGTGTCCAGTCTTTGGGACCTCTGCCTTTTTCTAGAGCAAGAAACAACCTTGTTTGTGTCCAACTTTGCTCATGCGTTTTGTATAGCCTAAAATCTAAAGGAGGATTTAGGCTTCAACTTTATCCTCTTATCTGTTTTCCATCAGTGTCTCAATTGTTGATTTTGTTCCCCATTTCAAACCATGTGATTGCCCCACCCAAAATAAAAAAGAACATTAGTTTCTTAAAAAGTTACTAGATCAAGCATAAGTAACATACCTTCAACCAAGTTGGGATGATTGATATTTATCTGGTGCATGCAAGTTGGTCCAAAAGACATTGCCTAATGATTGACAGCAAAGACAAATAAATTAACCATGTTTTTCACGAGGTCAAGGATGAGGATGTTTATCACGGCATATATACTCTTCTAAGTTTTTATCATATACAAGTAGAATCAGGCATGGGGCTGCAATGGAAACGTGCCGACCTCTGACCTCCAACGGATTCCTCTTCCCGGATGCTGGGTGCGTGAACCTGTGAAACACCTTTGCCTGTCCATTTCTAGTGCACGAAAAATGCTTCCCAATTCAATAAACCCATTCTCACCTAGTAGACGACCGTTGGTTTTGATAACATAAGAGATCACCAATGATATTACAACGGACATCTGAACAAACTTTCCACGCCTGCAAATTGACTTTTCGAATGATATTTCATCAGGCAACAAGCATTTGATGTTTATTACATCTTTACTAAAATGAATCCCATCGTTACTAACTACAAAATAATAATAATAATAATAATAATAATAATAATAATAATAATAAATATAAAATATAATATTAATATATAGACAATCTTAAAGGACCCAAAAAACCCTGTCAAAGAATATAAATAATAGGTGGAACAAAATTTCGGTATACAAGTGTAGTAGTATCACTATCAATACATGTTGTAAAGATGAATGGCTACATTTTGAGAGTAATATACTTGGGAAAAAAGGGGAAAAAGGAACCTGGAATAAAAGAAAACAAATCAAAAAAGATCAAAAAAACAATTACATTACAAGATTGGTCACTATTTTACACAAATTAGGTCATCCCGAAGCTTACTCTGATGACCTGAATAACGATGTGTTGGTGGCACGTGGATTGTCAAACTTATGATTGCTCTTTACGGTTTGGGGCTTGTTGGGTATTGTACAGTCTTGCCTGGTCAGAAAATTTTGCTTGAGCAAGTTTAGGAAAGAGCTTTGCAAAGGGTTAAAAAAAACTGTTCACTCAGTCAAACCACCTTCGCGCTTTTAAGCACCTGTCCTCCAGAGTACAACAAGCCGATCAGGAAAATGCTGAAATTTGGATTTTTCTGCTTCATGTTTTATTTAATATCATGAATCATGAGAGCCTTGGACCATCAAAGAAATACGCTTAGCACTGTCTGCACGAAGGCCATCTCCTTTATAACCAATCTGGGAGGAGAAATAATATTCAACATAGCCTCAAAAAACTTCTCTTGCAAGAATTAGGTAAATATTTTTAAATAACACTACCCCTCTACTTGGTGGTACATTATTGGGAAAGAAAAAAATGGAGTATATATATTCCAGGCCAAAGTAATTACCTCAATTGGACTATCAGGGGGGAACCACCGCAAGAGCACACCTAGATGCACCACAGCTGGTATTAGCTTGAAAAGTAACGGTGTTGTCACCTGCAAAACTGCTTTGTCAACACAGCTTGAAATCTAGACATAAATTCATAACAGAAATATGCCATTAAGAATCATATTTGAAAGAATATTATAGTGAATCACCTACTGTCAACTAAATCAGGGTCACAATATCTATCAGACTAAAACATTCTTGACTAAAAGGAATAATTAGTTTCAGAAATTTGTCATCAAACTTTATAAACAGAATGAGAATGAGCAATTGCAGAGAAGAGAGACAAATAATCCAACAATGCAAAACAACCCAATTAGACCATAGCACCACAGGTTATCTGTTTAGATTAACAGTTTTTTTCTCTGAAAACTAGTAACCAAAACTCAACATCAAAGAAGCATGTTCACAAATTTCTTCTATTGAAGGGAAAATAATGTGCACAAATACTGCTGGGAGGTTTTAATTTTCAATCAGCAATTTTTGGAGTGTCATGATAGGCCGACACAAAAAAGAGAAGAATTAAATTACACTACATGATTTAGGAACTTGCATTTCACTACTAGAAACATCAAACAGTATTTTGACATACCAAACTCAGAGCAGTTGTGCCCAGAAGCAGAAGGTACAGTTTTCCCTGTAATTGTGGAAAAACTTCTGTCACAATGCCAGAATTCAGAAATAGCATCACATAAGAGAAAATATAACTGATATTTACAATCGAGAACAAACAATTTTGAACTTCTGCTCAAAACATAAGCTATAATAATATTTCTGGACCAACGAAGCCCACAGTGCTGTAATAATTCCAAAGAATAGCAATAGAAAAAGCATGTTCAAACTAGAGTTCTGAGATCCTTATTATTTGGCAGGCACTCAACAAAAGTAACCACACAAATCACCAAGAGTTATATTGCAATCTATTATTCCTAAAATTTCTCCTGAACCATATGGAAGAGCTGATAGCTCCACCAAATCTATGAGCATTCTTAACCATATCAAAGTTCCTCTACCAGCCGTGAACTTTGACTTACAGGAAAGTATCAAAAAAAAAAAAAAAAAACCCAGGCATGATGATTGATGAACAGGCATAAAAATCATGAGAAGATGGTTGCTTATAGCTTAGGATGAATACCCTACAGCAAATGCAAACCAAAAAATTAAGTACCAACCTCAACTAGATGAAGATTAGAAGCCCGACTTAGGAGAACAAAAGCAAATTCTCCAATTTGAGCTAAAGACATACCAACCTGCTCATATGGGAAAGAATTCGAAACTAAGACCTTGTTAAATGGTGTTAAATTACAAATATGCTAATAGCAGGCTCAAGTCTTACAAGAAGTGACGTTTTGTTGCTGTATCCAAATCCCTTGACAACTGTGGCAACCACCATCGTTTTAATAACAATCACCAACAAAACAGCTGCCACTAATATATCAACATGATTCCAAAGGAAATGCACATGAATTAACATCCCAATACTGGCAAGAAATAAAGCAGCAAAAAAGTTCCGGATGGGTTCAACCTGAAATAGAAAAAAAAAAAGGAAAATGAAAAAGAAGAAGCAAAACACAACACAATTATGAGTAATGTTCTGAAGCATACAAAAGAAAGCCAACCACAATCACATAAAATTTTCTTTCATGAGTTTCTCTCAAAGTATCTGACAAGGTTCAAAGACCATTGACCATATATTTGCAGATGAAAAATCTTCAACATGTATGACAAACTAAAAAAAAAAAAGGAAAGAAACAAAAGGAACTGACTCCAACAAGCAGCAAATGACAGCTACCAGGACAATGTCATGAAAATTACCATGGTCTTGTTCATTCACAACAAATATTTCTTTGCTCAGTGTCTGATGGAAATGCAACTGGCTTTATATTTAGGAACAGATAAATGATGGATGTGTTTAACACCATCTAAATTTTGATGGATGTCAAAAATACCACCTACAATTTCCCAAATGTCTTCATATAGTGATGTGACATTAAAAGCCTCAAAAAAGCCAAGTAGTTAATTTTTAGATTTAAAAGTTAATGTGACAATCTAAAATAGTATTGGAGTTGTTGAATGTTGCCTCCATCAAATTATAAGTATGTTAGAAATATGAGCATAAACCACCATGTGCAGAAATTCTTTCCCTTTAGCTGACTTCACAAAGTTTTACAACAAAAACAACATATGTGTCTGCACAAATATAGGTTAAAGGTTTCAGAATTACAGAATAAAAAATAACACAACCAGTTATAAAACATGAAATCAGACCATGCCATTAAGTGTGATATCTTTTGAGAACAGCAGAAAGTTCTCCCCC